TTATTATTTCTTGCCTATATCTTGTAATATGAGAAACTACTTTGGCAGTAACAATACACAATGTACTAACCATTGTTACTCTCCTAAAATCTTGTTTTGAGATTTTGTACCATTGTTTTTATTTTTTTTTTTCTTTAAAATAAAATAACTGATGTGTAAAAAAAAAAAGTTAAGCATAGGGTTGGGGATAGTTCAGTGGCATAGTAGTGTATGTTTTTGAGCTTAACTTTCTGAAAGGCTGAGGCAGGAAGGATATCAAGTTTGAGTTTAGCCTAGGCAACTTAACAATTCTGTCTTCAAAAATAAAAATGCCAGGTCAAATAAAAATATCAGATGTAATTTAATGTGAAACAAACCTCAGTATTCACACACAAAAAATACTGTATATAAAAATGATTATATACCATCATCTACTGCGAAGTCTCCCTAGGAAAACAACGATTTGCTTTCTGAAAATCAATCACCATAATCCGTAACACTGACAAAGATCATCTCACCAGACCAAAAGAAAAAGCACTTGAAAAAAAATCCCATACCTATTCATGGTTCAAATGGTGAGTGCAAACCAAAATTAAAATAGGGTCTGGGATGTAGCTCATTGCACAAGCACCTGTCTGACAAGTACAAAGTCTTGAGTTCAATTCCCCGTACCAAAAAACAAAACAAAAACCCTTAAAGACGATAATATACACAGAAGTAAACTTCTTCTATCTAAAAAGGTGCTCTCTTAGTTACTTTTTTCTCATTGCTCAGACAAAATATCTGACACTCAGAAGAGCTTTACTAACTCACAGTTTATGAAGGCTTCAGTCCGTAAGGTGCTGGTTTCAGGGCAGGGTGGCATGGTACAGGGGTAACAGTTCAAGGTGGCAGAAGACACCAAAAGCAACAAGAGCAAAAAGGGAGAAAGCAAGCCTATTTCCCTCCCTTATATCCTATGCCTGTTATCCACCCACACCATCTCTTTCCTCTCTTCTCCAACAAGCTCAAGGTGTTTACCAAGTAAAGACCCTGGCCCCCTGCTAAGTTAAAAACTTCTGAATTTCTCAAGCTGACACAATTTATCAACCATAAAAGGTAACCATAAATACACTTAATAAACCATTCAATGATTTTCCTAAGAACGAGACAATGTTATGTACTGCCATTATTCCCAAGCTACATTGTACTGAAGTTTCTACATAGTGTAATAGGGTAAAAAGCAAAAAATAAGCCAAAACAAAAAAGCCTTACAGAAACAAAACCCAAAAGAAATGAAGAACTAAAGAATAAAAGAAAAGGACAGAGACAAAGGCACCAAGATGGAAAGAAATATATAGAACTGTTCATTGATGACATATATTTGTATAGAAAACCATAATAATTCTACATTACAAACAGAATAATAGTCCACAAAATTCACAGGATAAGATTAATATATAAAAACAAGTATATTTTTATAAAAGCAATAAATCTGAAGAGAAAACTAAGAAAATAATCATGTTCACAAACATGATTATTTCCAATTTTTCAGTGAACTTAAAATTAATATATAAAGTACTTTTTGTATTTCAGATTTTCATTTTGATAGATTCCTAAAGCTCCACACTTTCTTTCAGTGATAGGTACAAACATATAGGTGCAATACATAGAAGGATGTATTCTGAGCACAATGATTCTGCTACATAGTCACGTATCATCAAAATACAAGGTAATTCAGGGTTTGGCTGGTTGACAGACTTCATTCTTTTTTTTAAAAAAAATATATATATATATATTTAGTAAAGGGTCTATAAGGTCTGACTACACAGATTGGACGCATAGTGATTTTCCTGTTTTTAGACTCCCAAGCGCTGGGATTATAAGTGTGCACCACCACACCCAGTCTCAATTGACATCTCAGCAAGCCCGGGGGGTGAGGCCAGCACAGCATGCCAGGGACTGAACCCTGGTCCCTGTGCCTGCCTAAGCAGGCGCTTTAGTCCGCTGAGCTATCTGATTGGTCCCTGATAGACTTCATCCTAAATAAATTTGAGAACAGAGACAGTCACCTGTACAGCATGAGACAAATCTGCTACCAGGCACTGACGGAGTCTCTCATCATTCCCAATTCCTTGAAGAACAAAGTCAGGAACATAAGATGAGCAGTAGCCACCTAGCAAGGACCTCCCAAAGTTGGCAATGTTGGGCTGAACAGCACTCACTTCAATTAGCTTTGACCTGCAAGGAAGATTTCCAAGATAGACAAATGTAAGTAGTAATAAACACATTTTACCAGTTAAAAATCTTTTTGAACTACACTAATTTATATTTACAATTCCATTACTATTTTCGACAAAACAGAGTAAAATCATCCTTAAATAAAAACTGGATCAAATGCTCAAACAGATCACCTCTTGGCTGGACAAAAAAGCTTAATAAATAACTCTGTAATGAAATGAGCATGAATCAAAAACTTTAGGGGAGCTGTCCCTTTTGTTTATAACATATCTCTAACACATTCAGATTATGAAAATCATCCTCCATAACAAAGTAGCTAAAACTGTTACAAGTCTAAATCTAGATGTATAACATTTGTAAACCATAGATTTTTCTTATATAAGCTGTGATCAAAAAACATGGTAATGTTTTAAATTTAAAAAAAAAAAAATTTTTTTTTATTTGTTTACTTAGTGTGTGTGTGGCCAGCTCAGCCCACCAGGGGGCAGGGCTGGCTGGCATGTGGTGCTGGGGGATCGAACCGCGGTCCCTGTGCTTTGCTTAGCTTAGCTTTTTCTAAGTAGGTGCTTTAGACCACTGAGCCATCTCACCAGCCCCAATGTTTTAAATTTTTAAAAATTTATTATAATAAAAGACAAAGTGTCATTGATGCCCCTCAAAATACTCATTTCAAACACATCCCATTATTCTTGTCACTTTCTAAAGTTTCCTTCCATGAATATCTTTAATTGTGCTGTTACGGCTGCCTCAGAGTCCTCAACCAATTGAAAATACTACCTTTCATGATTATTTGGACTTCGGGGGAGAGCCAAAAGTTGTATGGTACCAGATCTGGTGCATAAGGTGGATGATGACACACTATACTGTCTTTAGGAGCTTGCCCTTCTATTGGATGGTACTTGGCAGCAGCATTCACTGTACTGTTTTTATCATGCTTCAAAAGACACTCCCTAAAGAACTTCCAGAACTTCCTTAAAAGTGAAAGAATGATGAGATAAGTATGCCTGAGATGAGAAGGATCCTAAAGGGCCTTATGGCAGTATCTAAAAACTCAACATTAACTGTGTATTTTGATCACACTACATATTTGACATGGAGTACATACTTCTCTTTCCTTTCCTTTCTTTTGGGAGACAAGGTTTAGTTGAAGCTGGCTCAGAACTCACTATGCAGCCCAGGATAGATAGCATCAAACACACAGAGATCCACCTATCTCACTCTCCCAAGTGCTAGGACTACAAATCTGTGCAACCACACCTGGCCTCCTTGTTTTCTTTTTCTTTTTTTTTTTTTTTTGTTTGTTTTTTTGGTGGAACCGGGGATTGAACTCATGCCCTTGTGCTTGCCAGGGAAGCGCTTATTCCACGGAGCCATCTCCCCGGCCCCTTTCTTTTTCTTTTCTTTTTTTTTTTTTTTTTACCATGAATCAAATTCAGGACCTCATACTTGCGAGGCAGGCACTATGAAGCTCAGCCATATCCCCAGCTCTCCTTGTTTTCATTTTACTTAGTCTTGGCCAATCCTATAACAGCTACTTCCTACCTTCTCGGGCTACCTCTCCCTAACTGCCAGGATTGACACAGGTCTATTTTGGAAGCACAATTCACTCCAAAATGCCTTCAAAACTCTTTAAGTAGTACACAATATTGTACGTGTCAACAAAGTCCTTTAACTCTTATCTGTGGCTTTTCACAAAGTACTTACTGAATGATTTCTGGGCTTTGACTTTATTTCTTCCCATTACTGAGACCATATAGTAATATACATTTTGCCAAGACAATGACCTCTTTTTTAGTATCATGTTACTAGCAATCTTCAGAGAATAGCTAAACAATAGTAGATATTTAGATAGGGCCTATCATAATGTGAAAACTTACTACTTACCCAGGAAAGGGAATCTCATCTTCTTCGGCCCAATCTTCTTGCTCTCCTCCATAGTAACTGCTGACTTGTCTGGTCATATCATGACCTGTATCTTCACTTTCGCTATCTCCAAGGGCACTATCTGAACTTTCATTTCTTGGAATGTCCCACTCAGTTCCTACAGCAGTTTTCTTCTCTGCACTCTCTTTGTCCCCATGGGGGACAAGAATGGAGTATCTACCTCTTTGATCTTGCGGAGGAAAACAGTTTTTACATGAATCTTGGTGAATAGTTTCTACACATTTACAAAGTTCATTGTTCTGTTTGTTACTTTTTGTACACAATCTTTTTGAAAACTCTAACATACAGCAGTGTTCTTTACTGTCTGTACTTATTTTAATTGGAACATCATCAATAGTCCTTGTTTCAATTGAATCATCATTAAAATATTCATCAAATAAGCTTATGCTCTCTAGGTCTGAATGATTCCAACAGGGAAGTTCAGGGGTCTCTCCAGAAACCGTGTTCTGTCCATCAGACTCTCCAGGTTGGTCCTCAGTTGTATGTGTAGGTTCCTGATGCATATTTACAGCCCCTCTGTCCTCTTTCAAAGGTTTGCTGTGATGCTTGGTTATCTGATCCACCACTGCCTGACTCCTAAGTTCAGTATCGGAATCAGGTGACATAGAATCTCCAATGAGGAAAGTAACCTTTGTCTGGCTTACATCACAAGAAAATACACCAGGCACAATCTTATCTGGAGGTTTTTTTCCCACAACTGTTCCTGTGGCTCTCATTGCCTGGTCTGTGCGGTCATCTGAATCCAGCAGTTCCTTACCCTGCCATGTTTCCTCTGTTGGCTCTGAGCCTGTTTCTGACAATGTGTGCTTATCTACTGGAGCAGATCCTGTGCAAACAACAGTCTCTAACTTGGTGTCAAGACAAGTTCTTAATTTATACTGTTTAATATCAACAACATTTTCTTCTTGGCAGTCAGGAGAAATCATTCGGCATTCATCTGAAATTCCTAGCAAAGCTTTAGAATTGTTTTGAATATCATCTTTCTCTTGTTGGGACACATTCTCTGTATTCTGCCCAAGAAGTGGATGACTGCAGTATTTACAGTTACAATGAGGAGCTTTTGTCTCTTCAGACTCCTTAAAGAGCAAACTGCTTTTGTTTCTATGCATTGTGATAAGGACATACTCGGATTCCTCGATTTCACCTTTCTCTAAAGTGGTTGTAATCACTGTGCCTGGCATAACAATGGCTTCATCTTCTCCATTTTCTAAAAGATGAGTTTCTTGAAGTTCAGAGCATCTTATGAAATAAGTAAGAAAATAAAGCAGCCTCTGGACCATATCTTGTCGTTTGCCAACCACTACAGTTCTTGCTAACCGTACAGGAGAGCCAATAGCGCCATACAAATCTCCTGCAATAGAACAACCAGTTAATGGACACATCCTTTCTTCACACAGCTAAGCAGGCTATTTTCCATTATGAGAAACCTGCTCTTACAGTATGAAGATTAGTTCAGGTTTTATTCTTTGTTCTTTAACACATGACTGATTATTCAGGACAATATGATAAGATGAATGGTTTTAACCAGAGAAAAGAGTGGTGATTTTCTATCTTATTCTTTAAAGAGTTGCTGTTGTTCTAAATCCAAAGAGGTTTTAGCAATTACATTTACCAGGGATATTCTCTGTGCCAAGTGCCATTCAGTTTTCTCTGGGTAAAAAAGTATTGCCAGAAATACTAAATACATACATAGGCTTCTATAGCTATGACTAATGTAGAAAAGGAAAAGCACAATGTTTGCTGGTGGGCAAGAATAGGGAGGGACTAATGGAAGCAAGGAGCACAGCTGGAGGAGGTGCACCCACCACTCACTACTTTAGTTATGCTACTGCTCAGATTAAACCCACAATTTGAGCACGAAACAACAAAACTGGAGAGTACAAAACCATTAACATAACAGCCATTAATACAACTCAATTTTTGCTAGTTGCCAGTATACATATCTAAATATCTCCATTTTTACATTATAAAACCCTATGCTTGGGACTGGGGAGAAAGCTCAGTAGAATAAGCACTTGCCTGACAAGCACAAGGGCCTGAGTTCCACCCCTGGTTCCACCAAAAAACAAACAAACAAAACACCATGCTTTGTAAAGAAGTAAACATAAATAGGTCTAAATAAATATATGTTATACACAGTATTGTAGTAACTTTTTCCTCTAGCTATGACAGTGGCTCAAATATCACAATGGTACTATCTCAAGCCAATCTTAAAATTATAATTAGCAAGTAAGTTGGAACTACTTTAAAATGGCAAATGAATCCTTCAAGACTGATCCTACTTTACCCTTCAAATTTTATCTTCTTACAGTTACTCTACTTCACCTTTACTTCAAGCAAAGCTTCACTTAACTGTACCACTGAAATATGATTTTCTTGGTGGGGAGAGTACTTGGGATTGAACACCGGGCCATATGTATGCTAGTTAAGTTCTCTACCACTTGGCTATATCCCAGTGTATTGGGTTTAGTTTTTTGCAGTACTGCACAATGAACCCAGGGCCTTCACACTGGATTATAACCCATGCTTTTTAATTAAGTCTTTCTGAGACAAGGTCTCACTATGATGCAGCTCAATCCTCCTGCCTCAGCCTCCTAGAGTATGGGCTTACAGGCATGAGCCATCACATTCAGATGATAGTCCTCTATAAATTTTGAGACAAGGTCTCCCTAAATTGCCTGAACAGGCCTGGAACTTGTGATCCTTCTACTTCAGCACCCTGAATAGAAGTGTCTGACAGGTGAGCACTACCATGCCCTGCTGCAACACCTGTGCTCTTTTTACTCGTGGGAGATACCATCCCCCTCCCTGTTAGCTCAAAGATTCTCAGCCAAGTATGGTGACTTTTACAAAGGTAAGTTCCCCTTCCTGAATTCTCACTGAACTTTTAATTTTTCTTATATTTCCTCCCTGAATTATCCTTATAGTCTGGCTATACATTACATATGGTAATTAACTGTCAATTTTTTTTGTTGTTTTGAGTCTCACTGTGCAGTTTAAGCTGGCCTTGAGCACTGGCATTATAGGGATGCACCACCATACCCTGCACAGACTGTCAGCATCTTGAGGGCAAAACCAAAGCATTCATGGTTATATCCACCAGTACTCTTTCCACAGAACTATAAATATATTATGTATGCAAAAAATACTGTAGAATTGAAAATAATTATTTGACTTAAAAAGTTGATGCATGCAAAATACTACTCAGCATTAAAAAGAAATGAACTACTAATACATACAACACAGGTAATTCTTAATTATGCTGAATGAATGCAGGTTGGTTTGTTACAGGAGTTGACAAGCTATGCGGCACACTCAATCACTACAGCAAACTATAGCAAGTTTCTACTAGGTCACTGTAGTGTTTTCATCTAATTCTTTGTCCATCACCAAATGTAAACTGAAGGAGAAAGAATAACTATATTTATCATATGCTATCCTAAGTACTTTATGGATATTGTATCACTTAATTTTCATATCTCTTAAAAGTATGGCCTATCCATTATTTATCCTCCATTGTTTATCTTCTGAGTATACGAAAACTACTCAGAAGCCTGAGGACAGAAGATCTCCATTTCAAGGCCAGCTTGGGACACAGTGAATTCAAGGACACCTGGAGAACTTGTCCTCTCACCAAAAAAAAGTATGACTCAAATGTAGTACATACAATTTCATAGCCTTTCCTCTTAAGCACTATGTCTCCTAATACCCAGAATTTATCATTCTCCTGCTTTCTCCTCTGCTACTAATTTATTTAGTGGAGTCTAGTACTAAACAATGAGCATTTCCCAAAACAACTTTGTGAACAAAAAACAGAATAGAAACTTCAACAAACTGCTTTTGTCTTAATTATATTTGTTCTAGCAATCACAGGTGAGTATTAAGCCGCTTCAGTCCATCTGAGCAAAGCATATAAAGAATGAAAACAAAAAACACTGTGAAGTTACTAGCACGCCAGCTCTCAGTGCCCGACTCCTGTTCTACCTGCAGTTCTCTGGCCATATACACTGCTTTTAGGCATAAGATGACACAACAATTTAGCAGACAAGAAAGGATGAGTATGGGAGAGAGGCTTGAGAATGAAGGGGCTAACAGAAAATTTCTGCAAAAATTCTGAACAGTTACACAAAAGATTGAGTGTAATACATAAGTTTATAGACTACGTACCAAGTTGGGCCCAAAGTGGGTTATATGGATGAGTTTTTGCCAACATGTCTACACTCTGAGAGGAATGCTTTTCTAAAAATATTTTTATAGGTGGTTGTCCATTTGGCATGACTGTTGGAACCCAGGCAAGATGATTGGTCAGAACTGCAGTAATAAGAGCTGGCAAGAATCTGAAAATAAACACATCCTATCAAATTCCAACCTACATTTATAAAATCCTATGCAAAATATTTTACCATAGTTAAGTATAGACAGTATATACTTTCATGTGATCAAATGACATAAAAAAAGAGAGGGAAGGGGCTGGAGAGATGGCTCAGTGGTCTAAAGCACCTACTTGGAACAAGCTAAGC